GGGACTCTCTGCACTTCCTGGACTTGATTGACTATTTCCTTTCCCATATTAGGGAAGTTTTCAACTGTAATCTCTTCAAAATATTTTCTCAGTCCTTTTCTTTTTCACTTCATCTTCTGGGACCCCTATAACTGGAATGTTGGTGCATTTAATGTTGTCCCAGTGGTCTCCGAGACTGCCCTAAATTCTTTTCATTCTTTTTCTTTATTCTGCTCTGCAGTAGTTATTTCCACTATTTTATCATCCAGGTCACTTATCCATTCTTCTGCCTCAGTTATTCTGCTATTGATTCCTTCTAGAGAATTTTTAATTTCATTTATTGTGTTGTTCATCATTGTTTGTTTGCTCTTTAGTTCTTCTAGGTCCCTGTTTAAACGTTTCTTGTATTTTCTCCATTCTATTTCCAAGATTTCGGATCATCTTTGCTATCATTACTCTGAATTCTTTTTGAGGTAGACTGCATATTTCCTCTTCATTTGTTTGGTGGGTTTTTACCTTGCTCCGTCATCTGCTGTGTATTTCTCTATCTTAATTTGCTTAACTTACTGTGTTTGGGGTTTCCTTTGAACAGGCTACAGGTTCATAGTTCCCATTGTTTATGGTGTCTGCCCCCAGTGGGTAAGTTTGGTTCAGTGGGCTGTGTAGGCTTCCTGGTAGAGGGGACTTGTGCTTGTGTTCTGATGGGTGAGTCTGGATCTTGTCTTTCTGGTGGGCAGGACCACGTCCAGTGGTGTGTTTTGGGGTGTCTGTGGACTTAGGATTTTAGGCAGCCTCTCTGCTAATGGGTGGTGGTGTGTTCCTGTCTTGCTAGTTGTTTGGCATGGGATATCCAGCACTGGAGCTTACTGATTGTTGAGTGGAGCTGGGTCTTAGCATTGAGATGGAGATCTCTGGGAGAGCTCTCACCGATAGATATTATGAGGGGCCAGGAAGTCTCTGGTGGACCAGTGTCCTGAACTTGGCTCTCCCACCTCAGAGGCTCAGGCCTGACACCTGGGTGGAACACTAAGACCCTGTCAGCCACACGGCTCAGAAGAAAAGGGAGGAAAGAAAGAAAGAAAAAATAAAATTAAAGTTATTAAAATAAAAAAAAACTAAAATAAATAAATAAAAAGTTAAAAAAAGAAAGAGAGCAACCAATCCCGCAAACAAATCCACCATAAAAAAAAGCCACTAAAAACTATACTAAAAAGAAATGGACAGAAAGAACCCTAGGACAGATGGTAAAAGCAAACCTATTCAGACAAAATCACACAAGGAAGCATACAGATACACAATCACAAAAAGAGAAAAAGAAAAATATATATACATATATATATATAAAAAAGAAGAGAGCAAACAAATCAGTAAACAAATCTACCAATGATAATAAGCTGTAAATACTAAACTAAGATAAACATAAACGTAGAAACAAATTAGACACAGAAAGCAAACCCCAAGTCTACAGTTGCTCCCAAAGTCCACCCCCTCAGTTTTGGGATGATTCGTTTTCTATTCAGGTATTCCACAGATTCAGGGTACATCAAGTTGATTGTGGAGATTTAATCCGCAGCTCCTCATGCTGCATGGAGAGATTTCCCTTTCTCTTCTTTGTTTGCACAGCTCCTGGGGTTCAGCTTTGGATTTCCCCCTGCCTCTGCAGGTAGGTCGCCCTTTGGCATCTGTTCTTCACCCAGACAGGAGGGTGTTAAGGGAGCAATGATTCTGGGGCTCTGGCTCACTCAGGCCAGGGGAAGGGAGGGGTATGGTAGTTATAACTGGAATGCAGGGTGAGCCTGCGGTGGCAGAGGCCGGCGAGACATTGCAACAGCCTGAGGAACGCTGTGTGTTCTCCCAGGGAAGTTGTCCGTGGATCGCGGAACCCTGGCAGTGGTGGGCTGCACAGGCTCCCAGGACGGGAGGTGTGGATAGTGGCCCGTGCTTGCACATAGGCTTCTTGGTGGCTGCAGCAGCAGCGTTAGTATTTCATGTCTGTCGCTGGTGTCCGCGCTGATAGCCGTGGCTCATGCCTGTCTCTGAGGTTCATTTAGGCGGTGCTCTGAATCCCCTCTCCTCGCACACTCAGAAACAATGGTCTCTTGCCTCTTAGGCAAATCCAGACTTTTTCCCAGACTCCCTTCCGGCTAGCTGTGGTGCACTAGCCCCCTTCAGGCTGTGTTCATGCAGCCACCCCCAGTCCCGTCCCTGGGCTCTGACCTCTGAAGCCCGAGCCTCAGCTCCCAGCCCCCACCCGACCCAGTGGTTGAGCACACAAGCCTCTCGGGCTGGTGAGTGCCGGTCGGCACCGATCCTCTGTGCGGGAATCTGTCCGCTTTGCCCTCCGCACCCCTGTTGCTGTGCTGTCCTCCATGACTCCGAAGCTTCCCCCGCTGCCCACCCTCCATCCCCACCAGTGAAGGGGCTTCCTAGTGTGTGGAAACTTTTCCTCCTTCACGGCTCCCTCCCACTGGTGCAGGTCCTGTCCCTATCCTTTTGTCTCTGTTTTTTCTTTTTTCTTTTGCCCTACCCAGGTACGTGGGAAGTTTCTTGCCTTTTGGGAAGTCTGAGGTCTTCTGCAAGCGTTCAGTAGGTGCTCTGTAGGAGTTCTTCCACATGTAGGTGTATTTTTGATGTAGTTATGGAAGGAAGGTGATCTCCACGTCTTTCTCCTCCACCATCTTGAAGTTCCTCCCTCCCCTTGTTTTTAATTGTTTTCTTTTCTTTGATGTTGAGTTGTATGAGCTGTTTATATATTTTGTATATTAACCCCTTATCATTCTTATCATTTGCAAATATTTTCTCCCATTCAGTAGGTTGTCTTTTTGTTTTGTTGATGGTTTCTATAGGCAGTATTTTAACAGTATTTAAATTAGGTAAAGTATCTGCTCAGAAGAAGACAAAAACTTTCAACTCTAACCTTAATCAAAGTTAGCTGTTTTAAAGTATTCTAGGAACTTCCCTGGTGGTCCAGTGGTAAAGAATCTGCCTTCCAATGCAGGGGACGCACGTTCAGTCCCTGGTTGGGGAACTAAGATCCCACATGCAGCTGGGCATCTAAGCCCTTGTGCCACAACTACTGAGCTTGTGTACCTCAACAAGAGAGCCTGCGTGCTGCAAACCACAGAGCCCATGCACCCTGGAGCCTGCACACCACAACTAGAGAGAGAAAACCTGCACGACGCAACTAGAGAGAAGCCCGCGCACCGCAATGAAGAGCCACGCACTGTAACGAAAGATCCTGAATGCCTCAGCAAAGATCTCGTGTGCCAGAACTAAGAACTGACACAGCCAAAAAAAATAAAGAAAATGAATAAAACGAATATTCAAAAAAAGTATTCTAGAATGCTCTATAAAATATTAGTTTGAAAATAATTGTGTAAGATGAATAAGGGGAGAAGACTATTACTGAATCATTAACTCGCTTTCAAAATAATTTGTATTTTCCTCTTTCCATGATTGTTCATGGTGTTCCCTCTGTTAAGAATGCTGACTACCAGCCTCATCCTTTGATGTCCATTTTTGCTTCCTTAGACCATTTTACTTTTTTTCAGGAGGGGGAACTTATTCATATCTTTCTACTCATTTGTATGATTATTATTTTTGTTTTGTTTTGTTTTATGGTACGCGGGCCTCTCACTGTTGTGGCCTCTCCCGTTGCGGAGCACAGGCTCCAGACGCACAGGCTCAGTGGCCATGGCTCACGGGCCCAGCTGCTCTGCGGCATGTGGGATCTTCCCGGACCGAGGCACGAACCCATGTCCCCTGCATCGGCAGGCGGACTCTCAACCACTGCGCCACCAGGGAAGCCCTGTATGATTATTATTTTACTTGTTATATATTTTAAACAGTTTTACTGTTAGTAGAAATGTACCTTAAACTTTTTTATCCACTGGAGCACTTAATTGGGCACATGTTGTTTAATCAATAATGTTAAAATATTTAGACAGAAGCCTCATGAAAAAATTTAAGTTTCATAGATCAATAATCTAATCCTTCCCAACTTTGACAAGGCAAAAATGTTGAGTCAAATATGCTTCCTTAGTCACTGGATGCTGCTGAGTAATTAACCTACGGGAGTTTCTAAAGATCAGGCTGTTACATGGACTCTTTCTGTCCATTCTTCTGTGGCCAGAAATGTCGAGTGAGTGGTTCTACAGGGAAATGCATAGTCTCTTACTGGAAAAACTCTGTAGGAAGTGAACTAACCAAAGGGAAGATGTTAGCACCCGTCTCTGACCTCAGTGTTCTGTATTCCGGCTATAAACATGATACACATAAGGAGAGCCCCACAGTACACTTGCTCTTTATTTTTGCTGAGCGTTCCCTTATATAGAGAGTAAGCATAAAGCCACTTAGATAGCTCATCTGCTCCCTAAATAACATATAAAAGTCCTTAGGGCATAGAAAGCACTGGGCAAATGTTAGTTTTCACTTTAGCTTTTAATATCGTTTCATTCTTTAGAGCTATGCTGACCAAAGAGCCACTGGCCACCCATGGGTACTGAACACTTGAAATATTACTTGTCCACATTGATATGTGCTCAAAATATACACACTGAATTTCAAACACTTAGTATGGAAAAAAGGATATCAAATAGCTCATTAATAACTTTAATATTGATTGCATGCTAGTGTGGATATATTGTGTTAAATAAAATATATTAGTTAAGTTAATTTCAGCTGTTGCTTTTTTGTTTTATTAATGTGGCCACTAGAAAACTTAAAATTACATATGTGCCCACATTTATGGCTTGCATTATATTTCTGTTGGACAGAACTGCTTTAGACAGACGTCCCAGGTATGTGGCAAGACAGCCGTACTGTAGATGTTCATCAATGATCTTGATCAGCTAAGAGAAAAAGAAGGAGAGCAAATTATAGCTGAGCAAATAGAAACTGTTCACTTATTAAAAATTGAAATTAAATTTGGTTTCTTTTTTACAGTTTTGTGGTCAGCTTTATCTTTAAGAAACTATAGCTAACATTTTATGTCTAATGGAAAATAAAATCCCTATGTCTAGGTTACTGGTTGGTTCACCATGGAGTGGCTTTCCTGAGAACAGAATGGGAGATGTGTATAAATGTCCTGTTGATCTATCCACCACTACATGTGAAAAACTGAATTTGCAAAGTAAGTTATAATTAGCAATGTGATTTTTTTACACGTAACAAAATCTCATTTGTTATATACCCAGCTGAAAAATAACAACAAAACCAATCATAGTTTTGTGTTTAAGGGATATAGACAGCTTTTGTTGCCTTTATGTCTGTAGTCATATGGGGCCCAACTGTATTCAAATTTCCAACACAGTTTGATGACCTGATTAAGAAAGATGGATGCATGGGAAATGTGCTGCCTCCTGGGCCATCTATCCCCAGACTGTGGACCAGTTTCCACCGAAATGTAGGATTATTTTGCTGGTTACTTATAGAAATCTGAGGCTATCCATACTTCTCTCCCTCCTCAAAACAACCATTAAGTATAGAAACATCAGTACTAGGTCTGATTTTGGGTGTGCTGAGAAACACTCTTTATTTCTGGTCATGTCTAAATGATTTCATTCTACAAAAAAAAATTCACAGTTGGAATTCTTTGTAATTGTTTGCAATTGCTGTTTCAATTATCCACAAAAGTAGATCTCTGTTTCCAGAAATTAAGTAGTGAAGGAGAATTGGGAAAATAGTTTGATAAGGTAGCAGGGTTAAGAGACAGTTTTTCTAATAAAAAAAGAGATGATCCTATTTGTAGGGAGAGTGGAAGGAGGCAATAAAAAGGGAGTGACTACACTGGTCAAGAATAAAGTTAACTGGATGGAATTAATGTCTCTGGTACCTGGGAAAATGAGTCTTAGGAAGAATGCTCTCTTCTCTGAAACACAGAGGAAAGAGAGAAGGCAGAAGTCTAGAAGGACCTTTAGGTAAAGGTGAGAGAAGTTGAGATTATCCTTCAAGTGTGATTATCTTCTTTGCAGTAGAGAGTGATGGGATCTGGGTTGAGTTTGGAGGCTTGAGAAGAAGGGTGAAGTTTTAAAACAGGTATCCTGGGAAATGGGGGATAAACTATATAATAAAACTTTTGAATACTCACCCCTAATATATATATTTTTATTATTTTAGAAATTTTATGCATATGTATATATACATATGAGGAGATGACTTAGCATAATTTATGTGTATACACATATACATAAACAGCATAATTTTATATATATGTATACCTGTATGTGTATATATATGTATACACCTTGGCAGAGATTAGAGGATATGAGAAAATAATGATATTATTGAGAAGAATTTCAGTGTTCAGTAGCTCAAGAATGGATACAGCAGATGATGCCCTATTTGAGTGGGAGAGAGAAGGTTGGAGAGATTTATCTATTATTCTACATGCTAGTGTCATGATTTCCTTTTAAAGTTCATTCACTATTGCTTTGAGCCAGATTCTACCATACGGCATTCTTTGATAACACTTTAAGGATATTTTTTTCCGATCCAGAATAAAGCTTTACCTGGAGCCACCATGACCTTTGCAGACTCCACCCCCTAGGATCACATTCTGCAGATGTGATCACATATTTAAATGAGCTGCCAGATCACTGAAGGCATCTCATTTCCATGCACTTCATTATATAACACGAGCACTAAATTCAGTGCTACATGTAAACCTGAGTGTACATTGAAAAAAAATGGCTTTAAATAAATGATGATTTAACCACTCTTAAAAATCTTCTCCCCTTTGAAAGCTTCCACAAGCATTTCCAACGTTACTGAGATGAAAACCAACATGAGCCTTGGCTTGACACTGACAAGGAACGTGGGAACGGGAGGATTTCTCGTGAGTGTTTACTTTTCAAATCCTCATTCCTCTCAAGAAAGTATGAAGTCAGTGTCTTCTCACCATCCCTCCTAGCAAGCCAAATCTTGAGGTTTAAATGTTTGAGCTTGATTTTGGATAAGACATGCTAGATGGAGAGCCAACATGAAAGAACAATGTGTTGATATGTAGACGTCTTAAGATATTTAGTAAAACCATTGCCACAGAATGTTTTGGAAAAAGGGATCAGAAGGAACACCGATTCTTTACCCTTGGAAAATGTGCTTTGTATTTGTTGATAACAGCAGAATTCTAGCTCTCCTTTCTCCTTCCTGTAGGAACATTCAGGATAGGTACTGCAAATTCAGAAAGTAGGTTTCAAAGCTACAAAGTACTTTTATTTTTAATCATTTCTGATAATCATTGACCAATCTGATATTATTTAAGGCATGGCTTGATCTCATCTTATTTCATGTTAATGTGTACTCTCATTTAGTTTCTAGAAAGCTGTGAAAAGACCACCACAAATCAGTAAAAGAGAATGCCTTATTTAACAAGAGGTCTGGGGACAATTAATTGGTGAATAACTTGCATATCCAAATATACTTCTGAGTGAATTAAAAAGTTAATATAAAAAACTAGAAGAAAATGGAAGTTTTCTGAAAGAGAATAATTTCTGAGCTTGGGACTAACAAAAAAATAACATTGAAAATTGTTGAAAAGATGCAACTGTAAAAAAATGAAAACCATCACCCACCAAAAAAAAAAAAAAAAAAAAGTGTTTAAAGGCAAACAAAAACCCAGTCTCATTTGACATTTCTGCCAGTCCATGTAGGTGTAACCTAGTTGTATAGCCCTGTTAAAATAGTCTTAGAAAGCTTACTTTAACTTTACATTGGTTATGGCATGCTACATTGATATGCTAACTTAAAAGCCTGGGTGTATAACCAGATTGCTCTAAAAATGTAATCGATTTTGAACAATATCATTCTATTTTTACTGAGAGATATTAGAGAGACCTTGGTACCACTAACTGAATTAAGTGTTGCTTATAATATGTGTTAGATCCATGCATAAATGAATATTGCAATGAATCTTCCTGGTTTATGATCTTCTGAAGTCTTTATCATAAGGTTGCTTTTGTCTTTTTTTTTTTAAAGTTGAATAAATTAAGAAAGAAAAACATATTAAGATACAGGGATTACAGAATGTGCTTCAAATTTTTTAGTCTGTAACTTCAGATTTTTAATGTGTAACTATAGATTTTTATATGCAAAATAAAACATTTTGTAAATCTTATTTATAAAATAAAATTGCAAGAGAATTTGAGAGATTAACAGTCAATGTAGCAAGTAGAAGGAAGGAGGGAGGGAGGGAAAGAAACCTGTTTTTTGCCTCTTTTGTTTTTAGAATCACTCATACCCCTCCATCCCCCATGCTGTGCAACAGTTTAACCAGGATACAGTGTAAAGATTCTTTTGCAACACTTTAGGATTATCTTTGTATTCTAGCTCTTAGCACAAACCTAGGCATATTGCAAATTATCTAAAACATCTTTGCAGACGAAGTGCGCGTCCACATCTGTTTGTTTCTGACTCTTGGCTTCTGTGTGTGGCAGTCCTTTGCCTAGAATTCCCTCCCACAATGTCCCATCCTGTTCCGGGCTTAAAGCAGGAATGTTGTTCTGGCATTAACAATTGGCATATTCTAATTTCAACTCCTTAATGCTGTTTTCCATTGCTTTTAAAAGAAAAAAATCTTTTTTAATGCTTCATGAGTTAGTATTTTTAAGGGTGATTAAGATAAACCAACTTGGGGGTGGGGATATAGGAATCAGGAGTTGGTATCTTATTCGGTATACTAACCCAAGGCATCAATAGTGATTTCCCCCTAACTAATTGGCAAAATGAACCAGTTTTATAAGGGAAAAACTATGCCTTGTTCATTGAGCATGAAATATGACCACAGCTATTTCTCCTTTGAGCTACCAACAATTAAAGTGGGTCAAATAAGTTCCCTTTCATTCTTCCAATCACTTTTTGCAAGTCCACACTTTTCAGTTAAGTTTTAATAATTGGTCCACAGCTTTACATAAGGTTAAACTATATAGATTTGTTTTTAAGATCATCACCAGACTTCTCTTCCCCATTTTTTCTCCTTTCACATCTAACGATTTGAATATTATTTAATCTAATGTCTCCCACGTGATTTAATCAGGAGTTCTTGGCATTCAAGGGCTGCTGAAAGGGAGAGCTTTGGGGTCAGGTCAGTGGAGATATTAATAGTTGGAGTATGATGTGCACAAGAAGACAAACGCCAGCTTTGATAACTGAAGGTTCTAGGGGCCAGAAGTATGGGGTTCTGAAGTCCTCAAAGAAATACTTTGATAACTACAAAGTTAAAAATTGGCAGTTCATGAACCTCCTTTGTGTTTGTTTAGCATGTAGAGTGTTTCAGGTTTTTGTTAACTAAATTTTCACACAAAATTCTCTCTTTGACTCTCCTTGAGAATTTGGGAGGTCTGGCCACACGGGGCCTGTTGCACACCAGCCCACGGGCAGGAGCCACAATGGTCTGCCCTGCACAGAAAGCGTGGGCTCTTCATTCACCATGGTGTCTACACCTGGCTGAAGCTCTCTTCCAGGCTGCCTGCCTGGCCCATGGGGACATGAGGACTTATGGTTTCTGCTGAAGAGTATAAATGGAAGGGACAGGAGGAGGCCTATGTTCAAGGAATAACAATGATAATGATGCTGGCTAACAATTATATATCCCTTGCTATTTACCCAGCACTGTTCTAAGTGTTTATAGCTATAGACTCATTTCATCTTCACAGCAGCCTTAAGTTAGAAGGAGGTCTGATCATCCTCATTTTACAGATGAAGCAGCTGAGACCCAGGTATCTGAGAGACAAAAAATGAACTTCGCACGCATTTTTCTCCTGGGTGTTCTCTGGAAGGACAGTACCCCTTTTGTCGAGCTTGGTGGGTGACCTGATGGGCTCCTCCCTACACTGACAGTCCCAGTGTCCCGGTCCCCAAGACGCCTGACACCAGGCACAGCACATCTGCCACCCTCTCCCTCCCGTCTGTGGGCTCCAGTGCACTTTCTCTCAAAGGCACTGTTGACTTGTTAGTTTCAAGAGTTGACGATTCCTAGAGTCTTATAAGAGAATAGAAACAGTCCTGAGTTTCACAAATGGCGAGGTGGAGGGTTAACATTTTCCATGTGTTTTGTCATTGTTTTCATTTCTTTTAAGACCTGTGGTCCCCTGTGGGCACAGCAGTGTGGAAGTCAGTTTTACACAACCGGGTTATGCTCTGATGTCAGTCCCAATTTTCAGCTCCTGACCAGCTTTTCACCTGCAGTTCAGAGTAAGTTATGAATGTGCAGAGGGTCTGAGCAATGCCTTACATTAAAGGAGGGGAAAAATTGTATCAATAAGTGCCATCCTTTTTTACTTTGTCTCATTTGTATGTGGATGTGATTTTGCCTTACCTATGGATATATGTTTCTTTCCTCATTTCCTGTGTAGCCTGCCCTTCCCTCATAGATGTTGTGGTTGTATGTGATGAATCAAACAGTATTTACCCCTGGGATGCAGTAAAGAACTTTTTGGAAAAATTTGTGCAAGGCCTGGATATAGGCCCCACAAAGACACAGGTATGGACATCCCTTATATATACACTAACCCACGGCTTTCCTTCTGAGAAAATATTATCAGAGATGAGGTCTTTATCTCTGCATTTGTCAGATCCCCATATTAAAGGCATTTAATGGTAATCTTGAAAGTTAACTGAAATTTGTGCTACACTGAGTTATTCTATCTGTGATTTCCCCTAATGCTAGTCTTTAAGCTTGGATTTCTATTCCTGATTCAGGCATCAGATATGTGTATAGCATCTTAATCCTCTTTAGATGCTTATTTTTTCCTCCACTAACTCATGAACTAATCAATACATTTAGAAATCCAATATGTAGTTTTTTACACACGCTTGGACTAATGATGACTTTCTTTTACTTACTCTTTACTGGTGAAAAAATTATCTTTCAATTTTTATAAGTAAGTTCATAGTATAATTCTACCATTTATTATTTTATAGTCTTTTGTCATATTCTAGTCTGGCCTTCCATTTTTCACACAAGACAAGTCTTTTCAATACTTCTGAATAACTTTTTATGTTTTAAAGAGTCTTTAGTTTGGTTTTCTGTCTTCCTGAGGTAGGCAAGCAAAACTCAGGAGCAGAAACGTCATGCTTTTATAACACTGAATGGCATTTTTTAAGTTTCAGGGTTTTTTCTTTCTTTCTTTCTTGTTGCATCTGCTATTTCGTGGGCCATCCTGGTTGTAGCAGGACATTGATCCAATATCAACAGGAATCAATTCACAGAGTTACTAGTTCCTGGGTTGCATCTGGTGCTCCAGGGGCCAACAATTGTTGGAACACTTTTCTAACAAGCTTTCCAGTTATCTATATTGAAATTTGCTTTTCTGCTTCCCTATACAGTATATTATAAAATATTGTTATATATTTTCCACATTGACATTGCTTTTCAATACCAAGAGGACATTAGCATCTGTCAAAACTTTGGAGGTTTCACTGTGGGCTTTCACCAGAAAATAAAATAAAATTTCTGTAAATAAGACTAGGTATAGTACTGGTTTCTGGAGAGCATCACTGTTAAGGCCCTCATAAGAGAAGTTTTCATCTGTATCTGCTTATTTTCTCTGTTTCTAAATGGGTTTCCCCCATAACGTGACTTATTGTATTTAATAGTCTCTTGTGTGGAATTCCTGGCCTTCCTCTTCTATCTTCCAATCCCGATGCATCTTCTTCGTCTCGAGAGGTGGTTTTACTCAGTATCTTCTCTTCTGTTCTAAATGTGACCTTTCTTTAAGCCCTACTATACCACATTTCTTTAAATCATCTCTTCCACCTTTATCTTTTTCACATAGAAGTTATGTGTCAGGGGGTCACCATTCTCTTCCTATCACCTTAGATTTTGAAATCCTTAGAGTTATTTTTGATCCTTTCCTCTCTCTCAAATCTTACATCCTATCCTAAAGAGGAGGGTTCAGTAATATATTTTTTGTCATTTTTCCAGTGCCTAATTAACTGCCTTCCTAGAGAAAGTAGCTGATTGAACTCAGAAATCCAGGCCTTGCCCTTCCCACCTTCCTTACACACTGACCTCTATTTCAGAGACCCTTTTACCACTGATCCCTCATCACCATTCCGATTCTGGAAGCCCCAGATCCTAGGCATAGAGAGTGATCTCAGTGCTGAGAACAAGGACGTTAACAGAAGTGTCTGACCTCCTTGATCTGAAGGATTAGGGTATGTGCCCAAATATCTTGGTCAGAAGTTGTTCTGCCTCTCGGCCCTCTCGAATAAGACTCTCTCCAATGGCATTTTCCCTGAAGACCAGAAACTTCCTGCCCTAAATGCACATATAGCAGCTTTCTTTCTAACGTCTATGATTAGAGGAAATCCAGCACAACAAAAACATTCATGTTGACCGCATTGATTAGCACATCACTTTTTCTTGTATTCAACTATAATTCTTTGTTTATTATATAATTATCATCACTTGATGATATGTTCTGTTCCATCCATGACTGCTTATAATTGTTTACATGTTTATATCCATTGGTAACTAGAAAATCTATTTATATCATTTGAATCTTCCTGTTATGAACTTAATGCTACTATTCATCCATATGGCAGTGCTTAAAAATCTACAACTATTACTCTCGAGAACCAAATGGTACACAAATGGCACATTATCTTGCTTGTCAGTAAGTAAGGCTGCCCTGCACTGATGGCCTCTGACCAGGAAGTTATTCCGCTGGAAGAAAAATAACTATTCTTAAGAAAAAAGTTGGAAATGATTCCCTTAAGCTATCAGCCCATGTCTAAATGCACTTTCGATTTTTATTATATTGGTTAAATAGGAATGATTTATAACTTAATGACAAACCTGTAATAAACTTCCTTTCTCTTGAAGGTGGGGTTAATTCAATATGCCAATTATCCAAGAGTTGTGTTTAACCTGAACACTTTTAAAACCAAAGATGAAATGATTAAAGCAACATCCCAGACATCCCAATATGGTGGAGACCTCACAAATACATTCAAAGCAATTCAGTATGCAAGGTAAGTTATGTTGCTAATAGGCCAATATTTTGATAAAATAGAAGTGCTCATAAGTAATAAAAAGGAAAGACAAAGAAAAATAAATATGTGGTACCTACACTTAAATCAGAACTAGTAGAGAAGAAAAGTCTGAACATTCTGTTACTTGAATACTTTGAGAAGACAGTAGGGGATGAAATTTTTAAATCTTTGATTTCTAGAAATTTTATAAGATATTACATAATTTTTTAAGATTTTACATGAAGTAAGTACAGTGAAATTAAAAGACGTTAGTTTAAGTTGGCAGTGGAGCAATCTGCATTTATTTGTTAATATTTATCAAGGCCACAGAAAACTTGAGCTACCGGAGCACTGCATGCAAATTTAGAAGGGCCATAGATTCCTAAGTGTTAATGACCTAGAAGTCTGAATTGAATTGAAGGGCTCATTCTACTTATAACAGGCTGGGGCAGTGTGAATTTCACAGCTATATAACATTCTCCTAATTCTTTGCTCAGTGTCTCTTATTTTCTCAGCACTGCTGACCTTCATCTTCACTCTGCTTTAATCAGATACCTTTACAAAAAATGCTAAATATTCTCCTAGTGTTAAAAAAGAAATGAGAACTGTAGGTTCACTTTCCCTTAAACCTACTTCCTGCCCTTTGTCATGGAGTTGTGAGTTCCTTCCTTCCACTGCCATAACTCCTTGAAAGAAGTGTCTATGCTCCCTTCTCCACATCCTTGAAACATATGGCTCTGCCATCAGGTAAACATGGTCCTGCCTTAAGCCTCATCCTCTTTAGCTTCCCTGAACATTTGACAATAATGAGCACGCACTGCTGTTTCTACTCCAGTTGCCATGACACCACACACTTCTAGAAAACCTGCCAACTTTTTGTCAACAAGTTTGCATCTTCACTGGCTCCTTTTCCTAATTTTTCTTCACCAAACAGAGCCCGCTCTTTTATAGCCCTGTTCTCTCAGGCACTGTATCCATTGTATACACATGAGCCATCAGTCCTGCCTGGGTTACCCCATTGCTTTGTCATTAGCCCTGACCTCTCTCCTACAATGCACACAGGCATCCGGCTGATGCTGAAAATCCTTATTTGGAGGGTTGGCTCACTAATCAAATTCAGTACATTCCAAACTGGCCTTACCCTTTTCCCTGCCCCTCCTCATGACTCTGCCATTTTGATTCATGTGTCCACCTTTTCCCCTAGTCATTCAGACTAAAAACTTGATGGTTTACTTTATTCTTCCTGCTCCTCCTTAGGTCACATATCTGGTCAGTCACCACATCCTGTCCTTTCTTTTTCAGAATTTCCTATTTTATCTGTCCCTTCTTTTTTTAGTATATTCTGTGTTCTAGTTGCTGCTTCTATCAACTGCCCACTCTCCCTATATATCTCAAAAGTAGATTCCCTACAAGAGAAGATATGATTGGTTGGGTTAATCTTTTTTGTCCCTATTAAGATGTCCTTTGGAGCCAAGCCATCTCAGAGGCCGCTGGCCAATTGCCATTATGCGAAGTACCCGTCCTGTTCCAGTAAAGTAGACTTAGGGGAAGACTAAGATGACATAGAAAAATGGCCTCGTAAGAGTTAGAAACAGCAGAGGGCCTGTATTTTTCTGCAGGGAATGTGGGTGTGGCATTTTTCCCTGGAAAGAGCTCTGGGGCCTGGCAAGCTTCCTTCTCAAGGAGAATGGCCACTTTCTGTTAAAATGGGACTCATATGGCTTTCATGATCTTTTCAAAACTTTTTCTCCCCCAGCGTCCCTGTCTCACCGCAATTTCCCGAGCTAACAGGACTCTTTCCATTGTTAGGAGAGTCGCCTAACTTCTCACACCTCCTGGAATTTAATTACTTCTATTTTCCTTCTCTTCTTCTTTTTCCTCCTTCTTCATCGGTTTCTTTCTTTCTTTTTTTTTTTTTTTTTTTT